TATATGTGGCTAGTTGTACTCTCTAATATAATTTAAGCTCTCCGCCAATTATATTTAAATAAAAACCCCTATGCCAAAGAGGCTAGTTAATAAAAAAAAAAAAAAAAAAAATATTAGTAGCTCAACCATCTGTTATGCACCAATCTTCATCTCATAAACCTTTTACAGCTCTCAACTTGACTATTGCAATTTCTGGTTAACTGAATACTTCATTTAATACTTAATTTTCTATTTGAACTGCTGTTCACCCATTTACTGCTATTAAGTTAGCTTGTCCTATATTATTAAATAGGTTTGCTAATTCCTAATTCTTTTTTGTAGTAATTTTTTTATCAAACTATTCTAAAGCTCTTTCTCTTATATAGTCTCTTAAATATCTCATAGCTACTTCTCTTTCTGTTAGTAGACCTGCAGTATTTTTTGCTGAATTTACACCTTGGTTTTGCAAGTATAATCTTAACTTCGCAAGAAAATCTGAGATATCATTGCCCCAGTCAAAAAATGGTTGTAGTATTCTTGCCATATTTCTTCAATTTTGTTGATTATTATATAAACTAAAATTTGTTACTTTAAATTTAAAATATTCTGGCACTCTGTATAAGTCTTATTTTTTATTTGATATATCGATTATTTGTAAGATTTAGAAAATGTATAGTAATTGCTCTATCTGTTTTACAATCTTGTAGAAAAAGAATATTTCGCTAATACTGTACAATAACTGGAAAACAAAATTTTTACATAGCAATTCACTAATATAGGTTTGTTTTCTTGTTATATTATCTATTATTCTATTCATTTAGTTTTGTGTATTAGTTTGTAATTGATGAAGATTAAGTAATGCCTGATCTTGCTCTTGCTTGTATGTATCTTGGTGCTACTATTTATTTATCAGATCTTGTTGCAGGTTAGTATATTTTCAATGTATCTGTCTTGTTGATCTTTTAATTTGATTTGTTAAATTTATTCTGCATATTGTTGTATTATCTAGTGATTGGTCTATAGTATTGGCCAATTTAGCTATTGTACTCATATCTAAATTTTGATTAAAATTATAAATATCTAAAGAATTTTCATTAAAATCAGATTTATTTTCATTAAAATTCTGTGCTTCTACATTTTGCAAAGCCTCTCTGATATTTATAAGCTCTAATTTATCTCAGAATCTTAATAACGATAATACAAAATTTTGATAAAGCAAGTCTGTAATATAATTTTTTACTAATTTATTTTATTTTATTTTATTTTATTTTTTTAATATTTAAGGTGAGGTCATGCCTCTGGTTTTTATTAACATATACTTAGATATATCCTTACATATATGCT